CCAAGTAATATAGAGAGGTAAGACAAGTTTGCCAACTGCTAGGAAAATGGACCTTAAAATCAAGTTTCTGAGTGTGGTGCCACCTGCTTCCCCAAAGATGAACCCACGTATAAGACAATTCTGCTGTTTCGCATCTATTTAAATTTCTTCTCATACGTTCAGCGAATTAGTCCCACAGCAGATCTGGGCATGAGTTGACGCCATGGAGTTTTTCCTACTCGTCTATGTGTCTCTTTTAAAAGCCTGGCCATGCTTTTGATATATTCCCTGGTTTGTTAACTATGACATTCAGCACAATCTGCATGTTATTTCTGCTGTTTGCAGGACTTGCCCAACCACCATGACCATTTTGTGAAAAAAAGTGAAAGCGAAGACTCCATCTGGACAGCTGGCAATTGAGAAAAACAGACTCGCGTTTCAGCTTCAAGATGAGTTATACTTAAAACCACAAGCGAATTCCTCCCTTCCCCTTATGCAGATAGAAAAATTAGCTATGGCTACTGCTAAGGGAAAATTTGCAACTACTTTGATAATACTCAATGTGAACTCTTTCAATTATACAGCATGGAATGTGCTACCAGTTCAGTGATCTTCCACAACACAAACCCAGGCTCAAGTTACGTATTAATCATAAGAACATATGGTAGAGATGTGGCCAAATTTAATTTGCTTTTTACTAATCTTCCCATGGCAGTTGCTAAGACATACAGCAGAATGCATGGACGTGCATATCCATCTCGCCCTCTATTTTTTCAGAAAGAAAAGGTTAAGACTACATGAAAAGCTATCAACTTTCGAACCATCCAAAATATTAACTGAAGTTACAGCTATGGGAAACATATTTCCAAGAATTAATTACGTATGTAATGTATTGGTCTGCAAAAGAGGCTTTAAAAGGCCTTAACTGTGAGGCTAAATCAAAAGAAGTCAAAAAGCTTCTGTACTTGCTTCAGGCCAGCTTTCATAGGATTGGAGCAGAAGACTGCTAAAAATCACCTAAGGGGAAGAAGGTAAAAATTACTGTAGGTGCACTAACTGTGTGTATCAGCAAACGGAAAAAAACCTATGGTAAATATTTATATGTTGGAACTGGCTTTGTATTTCTTGTGTACCATTAGAAAAAATATACTCTCCTCTAACTTAAGAGCTTGTGCACTGATCCTCATGGTATGCACACAAGGCACAATCATTCAGGAAAAGGTACTTCTGCCCTGCTTGTCTATGACATATTTCCCACTGTGCAGATACTTGAATTTATATGCGACTATTTGACATAATGTGCAGCAGTCTCCCTGGTATGAGTTACAGGTATCTCCTAGGTCATTAAAAGTAGTGAAGAAACTAGTCTGCGAGACAGGCTTATTAAGAAAACGAATATGCTTTACATAAAGGAAGTGGACACTCCAGCTGCTGAGGCTGTAACATCTCTTCTTCTATGTTGTTCTCTCAAAATCTACTGAGTAACCTTGCTAACAAAGTTTCTGAACTAGGGTAGTGATATTTTCACTCAGAGGCTGCTGGCACAACGTATTTCTTGACCCAAATCAAATAAAAAGAAAACCAATGCAAAAACATATGGAAGAATTCAGATTTAGTGACAAGATGAAAACCATCCCTCTGATCTTAAATATGGTCATGCTGTGGGTTGCATGACAGTGCCCAGGATTGTCTAAACTAGGTTAAAATTTCCATGCAATAATCTTACCACTCTGAGACATCGAATAACCTAGTGTACTTTTATTAAGTAAATGGAAGCAGAGGTTAATGAACATTTATTGGACCAACTTAACACCTTGAAATCACAGGCATCAGTCAGACTGAGAGGCAGCACACTGATAAGACCAAGTTCTCTTTATAAATCTATGAGCCCCTGTACAAAAATAAAGTATAAAAGGGGCAAACAGAAATATTTGTTTCTTTCCAATCCCAGGGCTGCTTCTGAGGTCACATTGGGCATAAATTTAGAGAAGTCCAAGAGGCACTCTAAATTATGCAGTGATATTTACAGTACTAGGAGGACCCTTCTCCAGTTGAAGACCGAAAAAAATAATTAACAAAAAAATCATAACATTAGCTCTGCACCTGCATGAGTCTTCCCTATGCAAGTGAAGCTTCCAGCTGAATTTATGGCAGCCTTTTGCCCTCTATGTACCACACAAATAACAGACACGCATCAGAAGGGTTTGGGCAGGGCAGGAGGCAGGGAAGGTGTGGACTGGGCAGACTGAGGAATCCTGGGCTTGCTCTGTGCTTCCTGGGACTGGGCTGAAACCAGTTCATGGAGCTCACAGAACTGCTTGGTTCAGCTGTACTTTAAGCCTAGGAGGGGTTCCAAGTTTATCTTTTGCTGCTGATTCCTACAAGGAAAACAGTCTGCGGTAAAGAGGAGGCAGGACAGTAAGCTAACTGATGTGCTTTACAGTTTTTGTCTTGATAAAAGCTATACAGTGAGAATAAAAAACCCAAAGCTCTTCAAGTTAGTCTTTCTACTGCGTGATATCAACCGAATGGTAGTTCCACTTGAGAGAAGAAAAGCGTATTAGTTACACTAAATCACTACTTATTGTCATCTACATAAGGCAGAAAAGCACCCTCATGGGCTTTATGAGTTTTCTTTCCTTACAGGCTAGATACACAGAAACTCCAAGAAACTCACATTAACAGAGTCAAAAGTGTGTAGTCAAAACATTTATGGTGGACTATACCTGAATTATCAAAATTACTTTACCTGTTTAATGTCATAAATATTTGAGATGAAGAATGTGTCACTGAAGTCAGATACCAATGCTTACCAGAGAAGAAGTTTGTATTTCTAACATCAGAAACATTCCACTGCTTGATTTTCAGCAGGTCATCTTTGTGCTTTACTGGGAAAAGAGGTAGTTTTGAGAGTGAATGAACCTGTCACTTCGATGAGCTCAGCTAGTGTGTAATACTACCATTGCAAGAGCTGATCTACAGGAACACCTGCTAAGGTTCATTTGGACTGAAATGACACAGCACAACTACTTGAAAAATTACCTCTTACTCACTAAATAGTTCACAGTTTGTACATATCCCCTTTTACAGGGGCTATAGTTCAAAATAGATGAGCAGCTACTATTACTCCAGTAGGTTCTCTCTTACTCCCTGGCTTGCTTATGCGAGTCCCTCACAAATAGCTTCTCATCGGCCAGTTTCCAACGCTCCCACAAACTACGAACTCCAGGGACTCGGTTAGGGTACACGTTTTGGGACACAGTCACAGAACTGT